ACCGCTACGATGGTTTGTATACTGTCACTTTCTATACTTAACCAATGCGTTATGATGTTTCCATTAGGCGAGATAATCTCATTCTCTTCCCGTTCTCCATACCCGACTTCACAGCCTTTGAACTCTTTGCGTCTCGCTTCTATTCCGATCACTCCATCTATCCTGCTTGCCAGTCACTTTACCAGCATCACATTAGGACAGTCTCACACAGAGAAACACCTTTAAGGGGAAATTATACAAGGAAGATCCCATAATATTCGCATGGCAGTTGGCAAACGAACCACAAATAGTTTTGGGGGAGATAATGGGAGAAAGATCGTCAGGATATGGATCGAAGAAATTGCAAGGGGTAATCAAGCAAATCACTTGGTGACGACAGGAGCCGAAGGGAAGAATGGGAAGGATTGAAAATGCACAAGTGCAGCGATATTGGTACGTACGAAATAACATACTAAGGCATATGGGGGAATATGAGAAAGTTGTACTCATAAACTAAAGGGAGGGAGGCAAGGATATTATAGAGTTCAGGAATGGTATTGGAGTATTACGAGAACTCCCGAAAAGAATGGCAACTGATTATTAAATCTTACCCCTTTTATAGATTACGCAAGTGCTCACGTTTGGGATATTATGATTCAAATGATCCATCAACGGAGAATTACTTGCGAGCAGAAAATTTCATGTTGAAAAAACGCAGAATATGGTATGAAAATATTCTCCATATCGGTTTTCCATCGTCTATTCCTCCTATCTTTGATCCTATCCTCCCGGCCTTGCAAGAGACGGTTGGCTCCCTGTATCCAAATACTCCCCATCAGCATCGACAATAGATACTACAGTTGACTAATGAACAAAGTTTGTCGCTCGAGAAATCGCACTCTTTCGGTGGACAGGCATTTTGGGCGTATGCTGGAATTGCAAGACTGGACGATTCGCCACTTCAATGGTTGGTGATCCGCTTCACGAGCGTAGGTTTGGAATAATGAAATGATGCGTGGTGGGAAAGAGGGTGGAAGGTATAGGTAAGGAGGAAACATAGAGTGAGAAAAATCATGTATGAGTTAGAATGTATGTGTTTTTAGCTGCTGGCTTGTATTCGGTGTACGATGCTGACGAAGAGACGTTTGCAGATAATAAGAAAGCATTCAGACGACGTCAACAAATTGGAGGAGTGATATAAGCTATGAAGCACCTCTATTGACAATGACTTGGATTTGTCAATTATACTTTGAAGAGTGTCGCCCAGGATTGATTACATAATATAATACTTTTACACATAAATACGTTCATTGAAACCACAATAACAACAAACCTTTTTACATGTCATCATACCGCGGGGGGGGGGGTCTAAGAGGATAGCGGTCGTAGAGCTAATCTGCCAACATGATCTGTGACTAAACGAGCTTCATTCATTTCTTTATCTATTTCTTGTAGAAGATGAAAATGTTGCTTCTGTGGAAGTGAAAGACGCTTGAAATTATGTGGATATTCAGATAATGACTAGGCCGAAATGAGAGCAGACCAGCAAAGTACCAAAAAACCATATCTCTATCTAGTATTGTCAACGTTTGAGTTATCAACTACGTTTGCTTCTTCCTCTATGATTATCATACTCGATCAATGATTAAATTATTTTCGCTTCCGTCTCTCTTATTTGACATCCCGAACATTTGAAAGATTTTTTTATAATATGAATGCATTCCGTTGACGTCGTACCTTAGTTGTATTTGCATAACGAATATTTTGTTGTCGCGTATAAGGCATTCTGTTAAGTTTTCTTTTTTAGATTAATTCCCTAATTACACCCCTCTGTACAGTACCCCCATAGTAGTAGTATCCCCCCTCCTCACACTAGAACCAGTGCAATGGTTCGTTTGGCGAGCAGACGGTGCAATTGACCAAACTTGATGTATTAGTATCACGATGGAGCACGTATCATTTCACCGACAATCAACTACTAAAAAAGGATAACTTCGAAATAATGTTAGTTGTATATTTGTCGGTGGAATGATTGCGATGTTATTGTGCAATTTGATCATTAACTACAATGCCTTAGTAAAGCAAACAGTGTAGAGAATTCAGTTAACAGAAATTGATCTATAAACTGTATTCGAGATATTCAAATAATGCTAATAGATCAGACGGAAAGAAGCATAACAGATTAAAGGGTTCTTCAGTCAATTGTTATTATTGATAATCCCCACAAGTGGAATATCATTGAAGGAATTGCTTGTTAGTTTTAAAATTTTTCGAAATAAAGCCAAGCGGCAAAAGTTTTGATTCACTTTACGTATATGATACTAGTATTGCACAAATTGTCGAATTCGAAACGTTAATAAGAATATCAGACAAAAAAATATGAAACGTGCGATAATGTCATAAACACGCCACTGTCAGGAGATTAGATGACATAAATTGCATCGTTGTTCGAATTAATCATTAAAAACTAGTTTATATTCAACAGGATGAAGACATGAATAATATGGCAGATTTAGAGGAAGAATCTCAACTACGTTAATTGCGATGGCGGTCGGTGGTGGACCCACGATACAATTTGCAGAATTTTGGCATAAAAATCCAATCAATGCCGAAAAAAAACCTTCATGAAAGAACTACCAAAGCAAAACTCGGCTCCAAAGTGTCAATTATAAGCGAATTAGACATTTATAGCAACAAACTTTGTGTTGTGTTAAACTTCATAGGTTCGACTTTCCATCCCTTAACACTTTACAAACAACTTCAACAACCATCCCACACCCAACTTCGACTTCTTCTCAACAAAAATTACTCATGTACGAATCCCTTATCAAATATCCCACAATATCACTCCTCTTCCTAATCAATCACGAAAACGAAAACGACCTAATAAAGCAGATAACCCAACCCCACTTATTTCAGAAAATTAACATCACCGAATTCCTATCTACGAATCGAGAACAGCCTATTCGTCACAATCGACATCAATATACAAATACAATAAATAATATGCGTATCGTATCTCGACCAAATTCTTTGTCATATGACCATGAAAGAAAGACCACATTACACACAAATTTCCTGATACCAACAGGGGGCAAAGCCCCCAAAAAATTCTGACCCAGTTTTATATTAAAGATTATCGCAACAAGCAAGCTTTTATATTTAATCAAGTGCGCATGTTAAATGGATGACATGTCGTCCGCAACCAATTTGCAGCACATTGGATCGATTAATTATACTTTTGTTATATTCCTGCAAGGGGCAAAAAAAAACCTTTTTTTGGCAAATCACCAAACCATTTGCTAGAAGAAAATCCGATTAGGGTTAACTTTTTCTATAGTTGGTATAAAACGTGGGTTTATTTTCCAGTGGTTATGGGCGCGTACAAATAGTCGACAATCTAATAACCAATTTGTGATTTATTTTTAATTACGCAACATCCATAAACCTGAGTTATATTAGTCGAGTATTAAGTAGTATAATAAAATAAAATAAAACTCTTTAGCATTAGGCACACATTTGCTGATCGGATACGTGTAGGCAGTATTAGGTCGAACGTGTCCGTATGTTATAACTTTACACATAATCGCTGTTCTACAATTTTGAGATAGTATTTACAAAGGCGGGCCGACAATATTAAGCTCTAATTGTTGTGTGTACAAATCTCAGTTGCTAAAATGGAGAATAGCTCATCCTTTAAAATTTGACATTATTACGCTCGTTTATATTTATATGAAGGTTTCTAATTTAATCTGTAAGGCACCTATTGTTTAAAATTTACACCCGACAAGTTATTACCAGTGAGTCCACGAGAAGCAAATATAAATAAACGACCTAAACTAGCCATGTTTATCACTATTATCTTATGGTTCTCCAATTCGACATGTCTAACATGCCTGATAAGCTGTTTCTTGTACGATATGTCTGCTGTATGCAATCAGAATTTGTCAGATCATAGACCAACAACTTGTGCAAATGTCTTGATTTTTTTACTTTGGAGTTGCGGGACGAAATTATTCTAAACAGTTTACATAGTAAGAATATCTGAAAGTAGTGCAGCAACTGCTTATTCGTATTCAAACTAAAGGATGAGTTTGGGGTTATAATACCAATATAGGATAGATAGAAAAATGGGATAATTACAAGCAACTAAAATTGTCATCTAACAAATATACACATAACAAACACAGTGCAACAAATATATAATAACATTAAATTTCAGTTATGACAAACGTAAAGTTACTGTATTTTAAAACGTTATTTATGCAAGAATAAATGACAAAACGTGCATTTCAGTAATATCCATGTTATTTTTATAAGCATTTACATAATCGAGTTTAATGGTTGTAAAAGTTAACGACTAATTAATATAATTGTTGTACAGTACTATAATTATCAGTATGCGTATCAAATTATATAATTTAAAGAGGTCAAATCTAAAAATCCGGTGCACAACGATAACGAGTTACCCTTTGTTAATGATAGAATATTATCATCAGTTCTTAAGCTTTATTGGTACACTTTTTGCCATGCGGATGGCAATCAGTATTACTATGAACATTTACTTTAATATTAAAACAAACACATCTTCTACCCATACCACCGGTTTTACAATGACATCTAACACCAGCAAATTGTGTGATAATGCAGCCTTTTGAAGAGTGACTATTTTTTGGGGTATATTATCCAGTTCTGGAAAATAAGCACCTTCGACAACTGAATACAATTCCGTTGCTCTAGTCAACTACCTTTAATTTGACTCTCGATAATTCGACTTTCCAGAATTCGATCGCCTGGAGAAATGACCCGATTTTTTCATATGAAATTTTTTCCGTTAATTCGACCATTACATATAGATTTCCGATAATTTGCAATTCGACCGCCCTCAAAATTTTCTATTAAAGCCAGCATGTATAAATTGTATTATAACTACGCTCGTTAGAAAATCACTTCCATTTATGTATTAGTTGATTAATTTCTTCCGATTATTCGACCGTTTACATTGATAAAAATTCCGATTATTCGATTGCATCTTTATATGAATGCTGTTGCAATGGACAATTTATTTCATCTCAAAATGCCCCGATTGAGAAGAAAGTCTTAGACAACGTTAACTATCGAACAGAAGCACAAATATGTCAGCGAAAACTTAAAAACCCTCAATTATCCAATTTAGCACTAGGTAGAGAATATTGTGTAGGAAAAACAACCATACAGAATATTGTAGCCCAATCGGAAAAATGGATGAGTAACAATATCAATAGTGTTTCTGCCAAACGGCATTACACCGTCTATCTTTACTTAGAAAACCGTGGTTACAAGCTTATTGTAAAAAAAGTTCAATAGACGTTTGTCACTCTGTTGGATAATTGTAAATTTCAACCGAAAATAAAGTTGGAGATATGTGCTAGTTTATACCGTGTAAGATTTATTGTACAATATTTTATGATAAAATTCTGTGTTATATTAAATGCTTCTGATTGGATAAGCGCTAATTCGACCAACGACTCCGGAACGAAGGCGGTCGAATTAAAGGCAGTTGACTGTAGTAATCAACCTGTCAACCTATTACTGAACTTCTCCCTCCAACTTTCTCATCTGAAAAAGGTGACGCTATAACAATTGCCAATAGATCCTTACCGCAATCTAACACCCAAGGGAATTACACAAAAATTGTAAGTTCGGCACCTAAAAAGCCAACTTACATCCAGAAGTCATGAACTAATACATATTAGTCTTCAATATGTATAAGGCAATAAAAACTTACGTCACTGATACATAGTCAACCACAATAAGTCGGACGCTCGATAAATCGGACACTCGATAGGCCGGATTTGGCTTAACTCGGACAAATTTTTCGCCCCTTTTTTCAACTATCTAAAAAAAAATCTCCGATAAGTCGGACAACCCTTTCAAACGGCTTATACAATGACTCTCGAAAAGTCGGATTACGTAATTTCCGAGATAATTACGTTTTAGTGCGAAATTTTCAAAGTCTGTGCACATATATCTTAGAAGGAATACATAGGATCAGAAATATTGCTATTGTGGTAAGCATATGAGAAAAACCCTTATGTTTAGCTCATCACATTTGCACACATTATTCATTTTTTATTACTCAATAGTCATTAATGTTTGGAGAATGGGGAATGTATCCCACAAATGTCTTTGAATAGTTGGAAAGAAAGCAACTTTAGTGGT